CATGTGCAAGTTAACGATAAAAGGTAAGGGAGGTGTCAACTGATGTATAAAAATCTACAGAAGCATGTCACTGGTGTCACTCTTTATGGGATGGCAGGGGGGACTTTCTGCTCCCCACCAACCCAACTCAAAGAGGTCCCCACTTCAAGGAAATGTTGATTATACAATGTTGTTGGAAATGGGTCAAGATGGGCATAATTTGAAAGCACTTTCTTCCACAAACACAATGGAATTAAAGATGACAAACCACTATGTACATACTTGCATGGGAGTCTAAAGGTTATTTTAGGGGGGGGCTACAGGATTACCACCCTTAATTCTGTGCTGCCTTTAGAGGTGAGCAACTGGAAAGCCATGGCTGTTGGCCAGGCACCCAGCTCAAAGACAACATCCTGGCAGCAGCAGCATAAAAGGGTGGCAATACTATGCCACCCTTACTTCTGCCTTCAGAGATGAGCAGCTGATAACTGGAGGCTTAGCTCTGCAGGCAGCAGCAAAGAAGTAAATATGGAAATGCCATACCATGACATCCATACTTCTATGCTGCTGCTGATGGCAGCTCTGCCTTCAGAGTTGGATTCGCTGCCAACGGCCACCACTCTCCAGTTACCTGGCTTTGAAGGCATATCTACCACCTGCAGCAGTAGGGATGTTAAGTAGAGTTTAATTAGCTAATCGAGTAGTCAATGGAATTTCCATCAATTACTCAATTATAGTTGATGGGGGGGCACTTGCTACCCCTGCTGCAGCTCTGCAGCTTAAAGGTAGTAGGAGCTGGGCATGCAGGCTCTGGGAACGCTGAGCCCCTGCCTTTTAAAATAGTAAGAGCCACCTGGCTGTTACTACCTTTAAAAAGCAGAGGCACAGCAGTCAGGCCTCTGCCTTCCCTGCTCACCCCCGTCATCCCTCCCCCGCAGACACTATACATAAGGCAGGGGGGAACCAAAGCTGTTACAGAGGCAAGGGGGGGGGAGCAAGTAGTCAAATAGTGACTCTACTATCCAATAAGCCTAAGTTTATCAGGTAGTCAACTACTCGACTAGTCACTTATATCCTTATGCAGCAGTGCAGAACAAGGGTAGAAGTATTGTGACTCTCTTCTCCTACAGAATAACCTTATGACAGCTCCACACACACACACACCTCATTTTTGAGTAAGAACCCTACAATTACAAGACCATATAATTTCATATTTAAAGAGCTGAAACCATGAAATGTGCAATTTTAAAATTCCTATGATGGTGAAATTGACCAAAGTAGACAGTGAATTTGGTAGGGCCCTACTTATAACAGGATAACTGTCTAATTATGTTTCAGATTACTTTAAATAAAAGGAGTACTTCAAGTTTATAGGCAATCAAAGGGCAAAAAAAGAAGTGGGTTCGAAGATACTGATTATCAGCTTTGTTTAGAACGCCCAAGTGTAATGAAGCACTTGTTAAGATGTTAGCATCCTAGCAGAAATTATTGGAATTAATTCGCAAACTATATGCACGTAGTTACATAACATGCATTACACAGCATAATTAATTACCACCCTAAAGTAATTGATAGCAAAATCTGTTTTCACTTTGATCATGATCATTTTTAGGCACCAGTAGGGAGATGAAAAGTACCAATTAGTAGTAGTTTATGACTTAGAATCATAGAATTATAGAACACTAGAAATGGGATGAAAGGTGAACAAAGACCGTACGTATCAAGCAAAACTTTATGACATGGACATTGCAGTTTTGATCCACTCATACTGAACAATGAGGTTGGAGTGCTTAACAAATGCTTCTTGGACAGCTGCCATAATGGGGAATTTAGAATTGTTTATGTAGTCTTTCAAGTAGTTTTATTTTAAAAAAAGCAGACATATTAGACTATTCTGTATGCTGTAATCAGACCTACAGTGTAATTCTTAGTCTTACCGGTGACAATATTTACCATGGTAGAACACTGATATTCTAGATCTATCTGTATGCATGTATTTATATAAAAATCTGGTTAAATATGCTTATTAATCATACACACAAAAATTACTAAAAGTATTAGTTAAAACTGAGATTTCGTAAGTATTTTGATTATAGTCTTCCTGGATCCCGACCTCTTCTCTGACCAGAGATTTGTTTGTATTGCACCTCTGTTTCAGTATATACTAAAGTTAGCTGAAACTTCTCCCCAGAGGATTTGGAACATTGACCATGCCCCAAACATAACCTCTGCTCCAGGTGCTCTGTCTGATGGTCAGCTGAACAGAGCAGTAGCTCAGCTCTTTTGCCATAATTTTTAACTTCCTTTTTCTGGGCACTAATGATTGATCTGTCTTCCTTCACTGAAAAATTTAAGGAAAAAACCTGACAAAGCAGAGGAAGCTTGTTCCTGGAGTTGGATACTTCCCTGAATGGATTTTAGGGATGTCTTTCAAAAGTGCCTAAATAAGTGATAGGGCATACCGCAGTGAAAGTCAGTGGGACTTCTTATGGAAACCATTTTAAAGCACTTGGAAGAGGAAAGTGATCAGGAATAGTCAACACGGATTCACCAAGGGTAAGTTATACTTGACCAACCTGATTGCCTTCTATGATGAGGTAACTGGCTCTGTGGACATGGTGAACTCAGTGAATATGATATACTTTGACTTTAGCAAAGCTTTTGATAGGGTCTCCCACAACATTCTTGCCAGCAAGTTAAGGAAGTATGGATTAGATAGACTAAGATGGATAGAAAGCTGGCTATGTTGTAGGGCTCAATGGGTAGTGATCAACGGCTAGATATCTGGTTGGTTTCAATCAGGGGTGCTCCACAGGTCAGTTCTATGGCCGGTTTTGTCCAACACCTTTATTAATGACCTGGCTGAGGGGATGGATAGAACCGTCAACAAGTTTGCAGATGACACTAAGCTAGGGGGAAAGGTAGATAAGACGGAGAGTTAGGGATAGGGTCCAGAGTGACCTGGACAAATTGGAGGATTGGGCCAAAAGAAATCCCATGATGTTCGACAAGGACAAATGCAGAGTCATGCCCGTGGGATGGAAAAGTCCCAAGCACTGTTACAGGCTGATGACCGACTGGCTAAGCAGCAGTTTGGCAGAAAGGAGCTAGGGTTTACAGCGAATGAGAACCTAGATATGAGTTAACAATGTGCCCATATGCCATTAGCCTTCTTGGCTATATTAGGGTGTATTAAGAGGAGCATTTCTAGCAAATCTAGAGAAGTGATTATTCCCCTTTATTCGGCTCTGGTGAGGCTACATCTGGAGCATTATGTCCAGTTCTGGGCCTCCCACTACAGAAAGGATGTAGACACATTGGAAAAGGTCCAGTGGAGGGCAATGAAAATGATTGGAGGTTGGAGCACATGATCTTTGAGGAAAGGCTGTGGGATTTGGACTTATTTGGTCTGCAGAAGAGAAGGGCAGGCGGGATGGGGGGGATTTGATAGAAGCCTTTAACTACCTGAAAGGAGGTTTCAAAGAGGATGCAGAGAGGCTGTTGTGACAGATGGCAGAACGAGGAGTAATGGTCTCAAGGTGCAGTGGGGGAGGTCTAAATTGAATATTAGGAAAAACTGTCTCACTTTTGGCCCAATCCTCCAATTTGTCCAGGTCACTCTGGACCCTATCCCTACCCTCCTGTGAAGCACTGGAATGGGTTATCTAGGGAGGTGGTGGAATCTCCATCCTTAGGAGGTTTTTAAGTCCCGGTTTGACAAAGTCTTGGCTAGGATGATTTAGTTGGGGTTGGTCCTGCTTTGGACAGGGGGCTGGACTCGATGACCTCCTGAGGTCTCTTCCAGCCATAGGGTTCTATGATCCTATGACTCGTGCTTCTAACTTTTAGGTACTTTTCTAAAATTCCACCCTACTTGTTTCCTTTTGCTTTCCCTCGACAAGTCTGGCAAAGCTGTCAAAGAACGTGCTCCACCTTCCAGGATACCATCTCAGAAGGCCTAGCAGAGGAATGCTGTCACGACTGCTTCCAGACCAAGAACCTTCAGAAGGGTTGAGGTTCTTTGATTCTCTCATTCTAGTTGGGATAACTCTGCTAAGGCAGTTCAGCCTTCCTCGAGGTCTGGAACTTAGCAAACAGAGCTAACATTATTTGAGAGAAGTCCGAAATTCCCCCTGATTCCTAGGTCCCATACACCTCTTCATGGAAAACTCCAGATTCTTTCTCTCAAATTGATAATGGTCCCTTAAGCAAAAAGTTGAGAATCTTCTCCAATTTTCTCCTTGTACAAAGAGTATTTGGGCTCCAGAGTACACTGCATTTCTTCTCCACCTACATGACAAAGACCGAGAACCCTATAAGTGCTGAGCCCTGAAATGGAGCCCAGTGTAGGAAGTATAAATTATTCCCAAACAGGCACAGAAAGATATGTTATGTGGTGGCTATGTAATAAGAGACAGTTAAATCACAATACACAAATCACAGTTCACTAGTTTAGAATAAAATTTGGTGACCTCAGATCCTTCTAAGATGAACAATAAAGCCAAATTTCAAATCAGTATATTCTTATAGACAGGCACTGAAATTCACAGTGCCACAGAAAGACTACTAATTCCAGCAAACTTTGAGTAAGCATAAGAAAATATTCTGAAGTACTCAGTGTAAGCTTAATATTACTCATCTTTAATAAGGATACTATTTAATTAACAGTGAAATGTGCTCCCAAAAATCTTTCAAAATTAGCACTCTACAACTAATTTCTTCTTCTTTGACAAGCAATAATTACACACAATCATTTGTGTTTAAGAATTTTCCACCAAAGCTGTTACACTCTTCCAAAAATCAGTATGGAAGTATCATATTTTATTACTGCATGCTCACCTTTTTAAGCATTTATTAAAATACTTCCTGAGAGCTACAGAAGGATCTTGCAGTTTAATAGCAATAATATTCTGAGATTTTTTTTTAAACTCATGACATGACTTTAGACATCAAAGCATAAGGAAAACGGACAGAGTTCTGATTGTGTTGGCTGTCACATAGAATTAGTGTTGATGTATTACCTCTGTCACAGCCCAGTGGTGTAAAAACTGTTCCAGATCAGTCAGGTAGAGACGGACAGGTGAAAGCTGTGTCTGGCTAATGTGAGGTTTTCCTCTAATGCTCTGAAGGCTAGTCAACTCCTCTTTAGAGAATCCTAGAGATAGTAGGAGAATAAAATAGTTAGGATCATAAAACAAGTTGAGCACTATTCTACTTTATTAGCACCACTGAAAAAAATATTTTATTTGTGCCCACAAGATGTTTGCTATTCCACAATTCTAATAGGTCTCACTTGATATTTCAAAGTAAGTATATGAAAATATGAGTTCTGAATTCAAAAAGTAAAATATTCAAAGTAATTTTAAAATGTAGATTAAGAGGAAAAGCTAAGAAACATCCATTCAAATCTTTGAGTGTAATTTGGTTTTTTAAAAAGTCTGAGGGGCACCTCTATTTTTCACAATGTACAGCTTTACAAAATATGAATAATATGGTTTCTATGGCTGGAAATTTTGTCCAGGCACAAATAGTATGGTATATTTCTCTGTATACCAGGTTTGGAAACTCCTAGCAACTACTGTCTGCTAGCACTATGAAACTAAATATCACACATCTCCACTTTAAATTTAAGAGGCAATTTCTGCATCTGTGTAAAAATTTGAATATTTTAATGTGTTGTCTGCTCACTTTAGTCTGTAAACCCACTATTCAATGTTATCTATCAATCCTAATTTCCATATACAGGTGTCTGTGCATCATTAGTAATAGATATATTTGTGAATTTATATTAAAGCTCATCAGAGGAGGAAGTCTACTTCACTCTATTGCTATTGTGTGTTTTATCAATTATAAAGTATAAGTTGCATCTCTACAAATTGAGAGCATCTGATCCAGCAACATCCATGAGGACCATAGATATTCCAGGATCAGAGTGTCCTGGCATGCTGTGAAGGGTGGGGGGCTCTGGGAACCCAACAAGCTTCAGGGAGTGGGGTAGGGAGGGCGGAGCGCAGCATACAGCGGGGGCCCAGCTGAGCTGCATGGGGGGAGGGCCTGGGAGCCAGGAAGCTGCTGCACTACTGGGTGGAGGGGAGGGCAGGAGCCGGGAAGCTCAGCACGTGGCTCAGCTGGGCGGGGGGTGGAGCGGGGAGCCAGCACGTGCCTCAGCTGGGATGCTGGGGGTGATCAGGAGCTGGGGAGCCCAATGCACGGCTCAGCTGTGCTGGAGAGTCGGGAGCCAGTGTACAGCTCTGCTACACAAGGAAGCCAGGAAGCTGATGGGGCAGCAGGACAGGGGGTGGGAACAGCAGCAGGGGGGCCAGAAATGACCTCCCCTGGTCTGGCAAAATCCCTCATTCAGAACCAGTGAGGTCCTAAAGATACCAGACGAAGGAGGTCCAACCTGTACCTAGTACATTTACAAGACCACATAAATTCCCAAACAAGTACATTTAACAGTCCTAGAGGATTTCTAAATATGGCTCCAAATACAACAATTGCAGAATTCCCCCAAAACAAATTAAAAGTGAATTTAAATGGTGAGTAAATACCAATAATTATTAACAGCAATACATGTATGTGGTAATTATTGCAAAAACAAATTACATATACCCAAATAATTCAGTTAAAATTAACTTTAAGAAAATTCCAAATTCACTGAAGTATGTAAACATAACACTGAGGCTACCCAACTTCACACTATTTGATACTGATGTCATGCTATGACCCATTCAATTATGAGTCAAGCATTATAGTTTTTGTGGTCCCAAAAGAAAAGAAACTGATTTTTGACAATATTCATTCCATCCCCCTGTATATTCCCTTATCGTGGTGTTACTACAATAAAAACATTGCTATAAAGTTTTTACCCCTAAATTATTGATAGGTAGATTCCAAATAAACTCCATCCTAATATAGTTTATCTTTAAATTATTCAAAAATAAAAACCATGATAAATAATCCTAGAGGAAATACTAACATGTAATATATCTAATTATTTAAAGATCTGTAGTATCAACCTAAAATCAACCTTATAAAATTTAACTAACTTTTAGGTTCAGATTCACTTAATCATGTAGGCTGTGCCTGTTGAGCTGGGCTTTAAAACTAGTTTGCTTCACCAGAGCAGCTAGAGTATATTTGTAAATTGGGTGATTAATCTGAAAATGACTCATCCTCATCCTCTCTGAACACATAAAAATGGTCATTAGCCTTTCCATAACCTTACCTTCCACTGCAGATGAGTGCATGCTCAAAGCAGAGTTGCCAGAAATTTCTCCCTCTGTGGTACCTGACAGGTAAGTTCTGGGGCCCCCGGTGCCACTTCCCATAGCATAAATATAAAGGGCCCAGCTATCTTGGCCAACTCAAAAAAAAGGGGTACAAGTGGGAGTTGTGGAATGGACATCTCAAACACATCTTGAAGAACTACAGTTATGGAAAGATTAGTAACATTTTTTCCTTCAAGTATCTGCACATGTTCATCCCAGCAGTAGCACAGGATGGTGAGATCAGACTGAAATCGTTTTGGAAATTGCTACAAAGAGTTGGATACATTTATAGAATGCTTTGGCCTCTCAATGTAGAATGCTAGAGCTCATCTGATGCCCAGAGCATTGAGATATTGCTCTTTCCTGCTCACATGTGGTTTCAGGTAGAAAATTGGGAGAAAGATTGCCTAATTACTGTGAAACCACCTTTGGGAGAAAGTCAGAGTGAGTAAAGCTGTACCTTGTGTATAATTAGAGTGTAAGTAAACAGTTATTCAGTTGTTTAGTTGACGCTTCTGCATCAGTTAGTGGAGTTTCGTTGTTAAAGAAGACTGTGGATGTCCCTTAAAGAAGACTGTGGATGGCTGCAGGGATAACAAGGGCAACTCCTCAGACAGGTGGCGTACAACCCAGCCTCCCAATCAGGCAAGTTTTTCTCTAGGAACCATGGTGCTTATCGGTGCCAGAAATTGGTGCTTGGGCTTAGGGGGCTTGCACCAGGGCAAGGTATCGCAGAGCCTGGAACTAGATGACAGCTGGAAATTCCATGTCCTCTCCTGCCTGCCAGCTCCAATGCAGACAATCCTTGCAGTGCTGGTGGTACTGAAAACGACAACTGGAAATACCTCGGAATGAAACTCTACTAACTGATGGAGAAGCGTCAACTAAACAACTGAATAACTGTTTACTTACACTCTAATTATACACAATATGAATAAATGAATAAAAATGAAGACATTGAGAACAGCTTGCAAGGAGCAAAGGAGAGCAGTTGGGGTGAATGTCACTAGCAGTAAGAAGAAACTGACGGATATAGGGTCAGTCAGGCCCTTTATACCAGTGCTACAAGCATGCAGCAAGAGGGAGTACCAGAGCTAATCCAACGAGGAACCATGGAGGGAAAAAATTCTGGCAAGTGTGCATGGTGCAGAAC